GCTTGCCTGCCCATGCGAGTCTTCCAGACCTCAAAAGGCATCCCCAAAGTCGCCGCCTCCACGCACTGCAGCAGCGCCCCTGAGCTCCACCACCTAAACCCTAAACCCTAAACCCTAAACCCTAGAAAACCCTAAACCCTAAACCCTTGTCCTGTAGTCTACGTGGTAGCCTGAAGAGGGTCTAGGGTTTAGGGTTTAGGGTTTAGGGTTTAGGGTTTAGGGTTTAGGGGTTCGCTTACCCTTCGCCAGATCCGCCGCGCCTCCCCCCTTCTGCTGGCCCATCGTGAGGGTTTAGGGTTTAGGGTTTAGGGTTTAGGGTTTAGGGGTTTTATCTTCTTTTTCTTGTTTCAGGTGTACGTACACTCTACTCGGTGGGGTTTTCCCCTCAAACCCTAAACCCTAAACCCTAAACCCTAAACCCTAAACCCTCAACAAGTCGGTGGCGCACAGAAGTTATGTTCGTGTTGATGGTGTTGTTACAGTCGCCCTTCTTGCTGCTGCTGCTGCTGCTGCTGCTGCTGCTGCTGCTGTTTGCTGCTGCTGTGGGGTGAGCCCTCAGCTAGTTCCGGTGTCTGTACACCGCATGCACTTAGCAGCAGCGGGAGCTGTTGCTGCTGCTCATGCTGCTGCTGCGTTTGTGCTGCTGCAGCTGTTGCTGCTGCAGCCGTTGCTGCTGCAGCGGTTGCTGCTGCTGCAGCTGCTGCTGCTGCTGCTGCTGTTGCTGTTGCTGCTGCTGCTGCTGCTGCTGCCAAGGCCCAACAGAAACAGATGTGTAGACTCGATCTTCCTCCTAAACCCTAAACCCTAAACCCTAAACCCTAAACCCTCGGTTTGTGGGGGGTTCAGTGTGTCAGTGAGCCGCTGGCCAGCACTGTGTGCACGAGACGCAGCAAACCCTAAACCCTAAACCCTAAACCCTAAACCCTAAACCCTAAACCCTGTTAAGCCTGTAGAAAAACCAACAAAATAAAGGAAGAAGAAACCTAGGCATTCATGCAGAGGCTTAGGATAAAACCCTAAACCCTAAACCCTAAACCCTAAACCCTAAACCCTTAGCATGGGACGACACACTCTGCCTGTCTCGCGTAAGGAATTAGGGTTTAGGGTTTAGGGTTTAGGGTTTTGTTTTCTATATAGAATATTGTTTTTATATTTAATTATTTTATTTCCAGTTTTCTGAGGGTTTCATCTCTGCTGCTGCTGCTGCTGCTGCTGCTCTTGCTGCTGCTGCTGCTGCTCCTGCTGCTGGTCCCGCTCACCGCAGCCGACAGCAGCAGCAGCAGCAGCAGCAGCAGCAGCAACAGCAGCAGCAGCAGCAGCAGCGTTTCATCTATCGGCTTTCTGCATGCAACAGTCTTATGGAATCTCAGGAAGAAGCTGCTGCTGCTGCTGCAGCAGCAGCTGCTGCTGCTGCTGCTGCTGCAGCGTGCAGCTACCGCGTTGCAGCAGCAAACCCAGCAGCAGACACAGCAGCAGCAGCAGCTCAGGGATCACCAGCATCACCAGCAGCAGCAGCAGCTGCTGCAGGAGAACGTGAAGGAGCAGCAGCAAACGCAGCAGCAGCAGCAAGAGCTGCTGCTGCTTCACAGCAGCTGCCTGCCCCTTCGTCGCAGTCTGCAGCAGAAACAGCAGCAGCAACAGCAGCAGCAGCAGCAGCAACAGCAGCAGCAGCAGCAGCAGCGACTGCAGCAACAACTGAGGGGTCAACGGCCCCCCCTGCAGCAGCATCAGCAGCAGCGGAAGCAGCAGGAGCGTCTGCAGCATCAGCAGCAGCAGCAACAGCAGCAGCAGGAGCAACAACAACAACAGCAACAACAGCAGCAGCAGCAGCAGCAGCAGCAGCAGCAGCTGGTGTTGCTCCTTTTGTGTTAGTTAAGGATTTGCTGCCGCAGCGCGGCTGCTGCTGCTGCGCCGTTCGTGTCTTTGGCTTTCTCAGCCACAGCCTGCACAAGCTCCCTTCAGGTAAACCCTAAACCCTAATAAACCCTAAACCCTAATAAACCCTAAACCCTAATTTTTTTCACGCAACGGGGAGAGGGATTCTACGCTCAGCTAGAGGGTTTAGCCGGAGAGCGGTTGGATCGTACGGTTTACTAGGGTTTATTAGGGTTTAGGGTTTAGGGTTTATTAGGGTTTGTTAAGCTTTATGAGGGTTTAGGGTTTATTAGGGTTTAGGGTTTACTAGGGTTTAGGGTTTAGGGTTTAGGGTTTGTATTTAGGAGTAATAAGAAAAAACAACAGAAGCAATTGTAGGAGACGAGACGGGTTTAGGGTGTACAAGGGTTTAGGGTTTACAAGGGTTTAGGGTTTAGGGTTTACTAGGGTTTAGGGTTTACTAGGGTTTAGGGTTTGTGTTTAGGAGTAATAAGAAAAACAACAGAAGCAATTGTAGGAGACGAGACGGGGGTGGTTTTGCTGCTGCTGCAGTCAGACGCTCATCGGCGTCTCTGTCAAGTAAACCCTAAACCCTAAACCCTAAACCCTAAACCCTAGACCCTAAACCCTAATTGGTGGTTTGGTGAGGGTTGCAAGCTGTAGACCCTTTCCCCTCTCTCTCTCTCCCCACCAAACCCTAAACCCTCGTCTATTCCGCCTTGAAAAGGCAGCAATATAAGGGTTTAGGGTTTAGGGTTTAGGGTTTTAGGGTTTAGGGTTTAGGGTTTAGGGTTTGTGCTGCAGCCTGGGGCGGATGTGCTGCTGCTGAACGTCACCGTTTGCTGCGTCGGTGGTTATATATGTTTACGGCTGCCTCGAGGGGGCCCTGCTGCTGCTGCTGCTGCTGCTGCTGCTGCAGCAGCAGCAGCAACAGCAGCAGAAGCAGAAGAAGCAGCAGCAGCAGCAGCTGTTGTGCCGCTGGCTCCCTCCGTCTTGTCTCTATCCCCTCTCTGCAGCAGTTCCCAGCAGCAGCAGCAGCAGCAACAGCAGCAGCAGCAGCAGCAGCAACGGCTGCTGCTGCAGCTAAGGCAGGTGCAGCCTCTACCGATTCCTATTAAACGTGATTCACCCCTCTAATCCTGCTGCTGCTGCTGCTGCTGCGGCTGCTGCTGCTGCTGCTGTTGCTGCTGCTGCTGTATCTGTCTATGAAGGCAGCAGCAGCAGCAGCAGTTACTGCAGCAGTAGCTTTAGCAGGTTATTTCTACAGCAGCAACATCAGCACCAGCCGCTGCTGCTGCTGCTGCATCTGCTGCTGCTGCTGCTGCTAGCAGCAGCAGCAGCAGCAAAATTTATAAATATATTAATCTTTTTTTGTCTTTATAAGCAAAACAAAAACTTTATTTTTTTTCTTTTTCTCTCAACTACAGCCCAAGCTCCTTCTCCCCCTGCACCACCACCCTTCCTCCTGCTGCAGCTACTGCTGCATCTGCTGCTGCTGCTGCTGCTGCTGCAGCAGCAGCAGCTAGAAGGGGGGCAATCTCCCCTGAAAGATAGTGGGGTAGTCTGGGTAGAGAGACTCAAAGTCAGGGGGGTTTGTCTCCTCGCTATACAGCAGAGCCTTATACAGAGATACTATGCCGTTCGTCTCGCATGAACCTGCAGCAGCAGCAGCAGCAGCAGCAGCAGCAGCAGCAGCAGTAGCAACAGTAGCAGCAGGAGTAGCAGCAGTAGCAGCAGTAGCAGCAGCAGCAGCAGCAGGGATAGCAGCAGCAGCAGCAGCAACAGCAGCACAAACAAAAACTTCAAGTGGAGTACTAACACTCAAGATGCCGCATAGCTACCTACATATCTATCTATCTAGCTAGCTATCTATCTGTCTATCTATCTAGCTATCTAGCTAGCTAGCTAGCTAGATAGCTAGCTAGCTGGCTAGCTTGTTACCCAGCTAGCTAGCGATCTCAGTAAACTGCATCTTCAGCTAGCTATCCCCCCATCTATCTATCTATCTATCTATCTATCTATCTATCTATCTATCTAGCCAGCTAGCTAGCCAGCTAGCTAGCCAGCTAGCTAGCTAGCTAGCTAGGTATTTGTATTTACCTGCGAGTCTATAAGA